TAAGATGTGAGAGCTAGCTAGAAATATGCTTAAACTATTGGCTAAACAGTAGTGCAATTAATATAGTTTCTGTGTGATTATTTTGAGTCTGGGCAGCCCAGGAAGCGAACAAGCAGCCTCTGCCTACAGAGGACTTGATATCAGAAAAGACTAAGATCAGATCTCATGCCTGCCACGTGTTCTCACAGACCACAGTCTCTCCATACTTTATGTCTTTTATATAAAACATGAGTTTTACCATACCACATGGATTCCCCTATTCATCCCTGCCTTTACTTTTTTTATTTGATGGCCCACAAAGGCAAATTACAGAATTACTAGTTTTAGCTTGATCTTTTTCATTTTAAAGATGAGGAAAGTGGGCAGCTGAGAGTTTAACTAATTTAATGGCAGATACATAGCTGTCACCATTAACATACAGCAGATTTGATACCCAGACTTGCACACCAGGCTTCCTAGCCCATCACAACACTGTCTCCTGAGATTTCCTCTTTACAAGTAAAAGGAGTATGAGCATGTGGTCTATGGACTAATGCACACATATTTTATAAAAATGTTGTTTGTTTTTATTTCCTGTAAAGGATGTTTTTAATTTTTCTACTTTACTCCAAATTTGAATGAACTTACATTAGAGGGCTTCATCAATCTTCTAGAACATGCACAGAATCTCTCTCACCTTCCTTTCCCTCTCTTCAAAACGGAACAGGATAGTGCTCATCTATTTAGTGGTATCTACTGTCAGTCATTTATCAGTGGTTCTGAGACAGCTGATTTGCTTTGCTCAGTATGGTGAAGGTCATATTTCTGTCCATCATGAGTTTTTGAAATTTGACTGGTGAATAAGCTTTTCTTTTATGAGATAATGGTTTAATCAAGGATTTACCTATAAATATTTCAATATTCTTTCATTTAGACAACTAACAGATTTTAGGACTATGATATAACTATAGACTTCCACAAATTCTGAATCTGTTTATAAACAACACATTTCTTAGAATTTAGTAATATTTAGGATAAAGTGATTAATAATATATCAATTTATTTATTGTATTTATACAACAGTGTAGTTTATTATATAAAATCATAGTCAAATGAGTATTACAATCAAGCAAATAAATACACCTATCACTTAACTTATAACCTTTTTGTGTGTGCCTACATATATGTATAATAATAAATACATACGGTAAAAGCACCTAAAAACTTACTGTCTTATCAAGCTAGTTTACACAATAATGTCACCTGTAATTCTCATGATATATATTAGATCTCTCTGTCTATGAATCATACACTATTCCATATTTGTACCCTTTGGTTTTGCTGTATTTTACTATATGTTAAGAAGTGCTCCAGGCCACATCTAACCCCTCCACCAAGTCAGATCCTGTACATCCCTCTCTAGGGTCTAGCCAGAGGGATTTGCCTGATCCTCAGCTCAAGACACCCTACCCAATTCTTAATTTAGCTCTAAACTCTATACTTAGTGCTGTGGGAGTATCTTCTGCTGCTTCAGCCAATAGTCACTGAAGCACGAGCCCACGGTGCTGTGGGAGCGCCTTCTGCTCCGTCAGCCAATAGCCGCTGAAATACCAGCCCACTGGGGCGTGGTATATTTCTCTTTTAAAAAGAGCCACAGAGCTCGGCTTGGGCCTCTTGGTTCCAAGCTTGGTCCCGGCTCCTGCTCCTGGCTCCTGCTCCAGCAACTAGGCTCCCTTCCTGACGGTTTATGGTGTATGTAAGTTTTACCCCCCAAAATAAATAACCCCTTAAAACATAACTGGTGTGGGATTGATTTGCCGTTATTTGGCGCCCAGTGTTTGGTTTAAGAACCACCCCACCCCCCCACCCCCAGCTCGGCCTCTGGCTTGGCTACCTGCCGCCAGCTCGGCTTGGCCAGCTCGGCTTGGCACGAGCCCTCCCTCAGCCATAACCTCCACGCCTCCCAGGATACATAGGTCCGGACAGTCTCTGCCGGCCTACTTTGCCCTGTTCTGCACGGATTTTTAAATTTTTCCTTGCAACGTGAGTCAAAGAACTCACAGCACAAGCTCCCTTTGAAGTTCCAGCAAGCTGTTTGAAACCCCTGCCATCTGCCATAACTGATTGGGAGTGCTGCAAGCAGCTTGACCCTTAATCCCAGCACAGGGACACGGGGCCCAAAGCACTAGGCCTCTTTAGCAACATCGCAGTGGCTGTGTCACGACCCTCTGCATCGGGTTGAACAGTGCGGCAGGGCAGGAGAGCCCGGCCGGGGTAGGCCAGGCTGCCTTGTTTATTGGCCACTAGAAGCTCTCTGACCTTTTGTGATCTGTGAATTTAACCTCTGGATTTGAGTGTATATATTCTAGAGTTTACTTCCTAAGAAAGAAACAAAGAAAGGAAGAAAGAAAGAATTCCATGTGCCTAGATCTTATCACAAAAGTACAAACATTAAAAAGTCAAGAAAGTACATCCTGCACCTAACCCACCAGTACTATAAAAATGTTTGCCAATAAGAATTACTAGATAAACCTCAGAACTGAGACTTTAAAAGATCAGTCATAAACTTCATAAGAGGATTCAAGGAGTGTAATGTAGTTATAAAGAAACAATTAAATTGAGGAGAAAAAAAGCTAATGAGAATAAATGCCTGAGTTATGCCCCAAAAACACAAATATAAGGCTGATAGAAATAACAAAGGCAATCCAAGATTTTAAAATAGAATTCAATATAAGCTAGAGAAATTGGTGATAATTCAAGTTGCAATAAAGATTAAATTAAAAAGCCCAAAAACTCAACTAGAAAATTCAAAGGAAAGTCTTACAAGTAGAATGATTCATTCAGATGATAGAATATCAGGACTCAAAGGTAAAATAGAGGACCTGGACAAAATAATTAAAAATATGAAAAAAATTAAAACATGATAAAGGAACATACAGGAATTGTGAGACATGATGTAGATCAGATCTTCAACAAAATCCTAGAAGGAAACTTCCCAAAAATAAGGAAAGACACAACCATACAGATACAAGAAACATAAAAAATAACTAAGGTTATAGAACAATGAAAGAATATTGAAAGCTAAAAGAGAAAAAAAATATATACAAAGAAAAACTCATCAAAATGGCAACTGATTTCTCAATGGAAACTTGGAAAAACAAAGAACCCAGAACAATACATTCCAAGTCCTAAAAGACCGTGGTCTAACTCAATATAATATATACCCCAAAGCTACCTGCCATAATTGAAGGAGAAATTAACTTTCCATGATATAAACAATCTAATAAATTTTTATCCCACAATCAAACATAAAGAAAATACAGGAAACAATATCTTTGGTGGTAGAAAGAAATACAAAGCTATAACTACTAAAATACAAGCGCTACCTGGAGCACAAACAACAATACCAAAATTCAACAATACAATGATGGCAATCAACACCATTTTTGGATAAAGAAACAAAACCCATATATCTGTAGTTTACAAGAAACACATGTTAGCTTTAAAGATAGATACCACTTAAGAGTAAACAGGTGAACAAAAATCTACTCCAAGTATATCGAAGAAGAAAGTAAGCAGGTGTCCCTATCATAACAGCTGATAGAATAAGACTTCAAACTAAAATTTGTCAGAAGACATAAAGAACACCTCATTTTAATCAAGGGAATAATTGGACAAGAATATATTGTCATCCTAAATATACATGTACCAAACTTTGGCGCTAAAACGTACAACTGAAATTAAAGACAGAGATGAACATCAAATCAGTAACAGTAAGTGACTACAGCACCTCCCTTTCTCAACTGCACAGAAAAAGCAGATACACATAATAATGAAGTGATGCTACCTGTCACTGGACTTAACTTATCTACGTAACACATATTTGCTCAAATGCAAAGGAATATGCATTCTACTCAACTACACATGGAAGCTTCTCTAAAATAGATAACATCCTAGGACACAAAACAAATATTTACAATATCAGAAATTTTGAAATAACTTGTGTATCTTGTATGACTAAAATACATAAAACCTAAAATTGACAGAAAGCAAATATTTAATAAATACAAAACTCATGGAGATTAAACAATTCATTAAGGAATGATGAGTGAATCAAAGAGGAAATCAAGAAAAAATAAGAAATTTCCTGGAACTAAATGAAAATGAAAACAAAATGCAATGGAACCCCTGAGACACATTAAAGGAATTTTAACAAACAAGAATACAACAAATCCAAACTTGCTAGATGACAATAAATAATAAAAATCAGAGTAGATATTAATGAGTCAGAAACAAAGAATCAATGAATCTAAGAACAGGGTCTTTGAGAAGATAAACAAGAATGACAAACCCTTGACCCAATTGACCAATAGAAAGAAGGAAAAAGAGATCCCAAATTAAAGTTTCAGAAATTAAATAAAAAATCAGAAGTGATCATGGAAGCACTTCAACAGACACTAAAGAAATTCAGGATATTTTAAGGGAATACTTTAAAAATCTATGCTCCATTAAGCAGGAAACCCAAAAGAATTGGATAGTTCTAGATTCAGGCAAATGACCAAAAGTTAAATCAAGAAGAGATAAACAACCTAACTAGATTCATAATAAATGAAAGCTTGAAATAATAATAAAAAGTCTTCTAGCTTAAAAAAAATAGTCCAGGCTAGATGGAGTCACAGCAGAACTCTATTGAACTGTCAAAATTCAGCTTACAAGTAATTCTTAAACTGTTAAAACATAGAAACAGAACAAATATTCTCAAATTCCTTCTATGAAGCCAGTATCACTCTAATACCAAAACCTGGTTTTAGAAAAAATAGCAAGAAAACTACAGGCCAATATCCCCTATTTATGTGGGTACAAAATGGTACACCAATGAGGAGCAACTTACATTCACATAAAACCAGAGAGAACTTGAAAAGGAATTCTAGACACACACAGAGACAAACACAGAGAATTAGTACAGCTTCTTGGTAGCCATATTGCAAGTTACTTGGTGGTAGCATGGACCAACTGCTTACCAGAGTTGATGTGGTGAGTGCAATCCCTCCCAGCGGTTCCAGAGTAAGCAGTGAATTACCTCCACCGTACTGAAAGACAGAAAGAGGCAGAGCCAGTATCCAGGGTCACAGTAACGAAGCTGCTTGCCATTTTAAAGCACTCCTGGTCAGAAAATAATTACAGTATGCAATGAAGATAGATTGAAATAAAAAGACCTCGAAATAGGTCACAGAGTTAAATAAATGTATGTAGGCTTGGGAGAGAGAAGAAAAAGAGTAAAGGGACAATAAAAGTAATATAAAAGAATTCAGTCATAGATCAGAGAAGCAAAAATAATATAATAAATATTAAACTTGATAAAAGTAATAGAGTAAGAAAAATAAACCACATAAAGGTAAAATATGCACAGAGACTCTGGATTATGTATATTATTGCGTTTTCTTTGAACTTTTTAACTACAGAGAGATATTTGAATCTGGGGCTTGCTAAGCTAAACCAACATATATACTTTAAAGGTATCTTGATTTTAAAATTTGGTGCTTTAGAAAAGAAGTTCTGTTATTGTTTCCAGAGAAGATGAGAACCTGTGGATTTCTTCCAGACTAATATGGTTTGAAGGACCATGAACCCCTGAAAGGTCTTCATGAAACCCAAAATTATTTTTCTCAACAAAATGCAGGAAGCAGTTTGGAAAAACTATGCCCAAATTCCCAAATATTGTTTATAAATGATCATTTACATTTAAAGGGTGGTATGCTATAGAGATGAATACTTTGCCTTGCTGTGGATTTTGATTTATTGATATAAATTAAAGGTTAATTTTGTTACATGTATATTTCTGCTCTTGATTAAGGTATTGTGTTTGTGCAGTTCATTTAAAAATATAATGTATAATTGAGAAAAGCAGGTTAATAGATAGTCATCTATAATAGTCAAGCTTCTAGTCATGTTATTTAGGTTTTCTAGATATAAGGAGATATATTTCAAATGGATAGGTATTCTTCAAACCTTTCAGAAACTAAAAGAATATGGTATTTAAAATATTTTAAGAACTTAAGACTTTTTGTGACAATGAGACACATCTGCTCCTGGCAGCACCAATCTATGTTAAGTGGATGATGGGCATCAAAGAGGCTCCTTATGGAGTTTGCTAGCCATTTGGCCAAGAAACTGCTCTTGCTTGGACTGATTGATGGTATGCTACATAAACTGGACATGCAGGACCCACAGAGAAATGACTTGTAAAGTTGCCTTAAAAAGGTGAGTGTGAAAGTCCTTCAGGTGTCCTGCTTTATGAAAGAGTATGCCAGACATTCTACAGAACACAGAAGAAAGTGACTGACAAACTGTCAATATAAGCAGAACTGTCTTTGAAATTTCCTGCTTCATGGAAAAGTCTGCCAGATATTATGGGTCTGTAGGCTAAAGATGGATGCTCCAGTGTTACAAAAGAACTTGAAATCCTACTCCGTGGATCCACACTCAATCTTGTTGGTCCAATTCATAATATCTAGAAAAAGGAAACCTCTTTTAAATTCCTCTGTTGAGAGTTCTCTGTTTAGGTCTGTACTCCATTTTTTTTATTGGATTATTTGTTCTTTTGATGACCAATTTCTTGAGTTCTTTGTATATTTTGGAGATAAGTCCTCTGTCTTATGTGGGGTTGGTGAAGATCTTTTCCCGTTATGTAGGCCTGTTTTGTCTGATATGTCCTTTGCTTTACAAATGCTTTTAAGTTTCAGGAGGTCCCATTTATTAATTTTTTCTCTCAGTGTCTATGCTATTGGGGTTATATTTAGGAAGTGGTCTCCTGTGCTGTGAGGCCCTGTCCTCCCTGTTCCTTGAGGCCAAAACACAGGATGCAAGTAATGTTTACGCTTACCAGCTAAGCTTCTGCTACAGCCTGGTACAATAGCCTGAGGAGTCTATTTTACTTTAAAATGGTAATTTCTCAACCTGCCTGAAAGAAGCTCAGGCTCCAAGGCCCATCTAACCTGTCTGACACCGCCTTGCATCCTCGACCACCTGCCTGAGGTCAATTTCCCCAGCCCCCTCTGGGTGGGAGGAGTTTTTCTTTACTGGGGCCAAAAGTATTTAACCCTGGATTAAGTTGAATAAATTGGGCATTCTCTTCTTCAGGATGACTGGAACTCTGTATCTGTGTGTGTGCGCATCTTGTGTTTTAACCCCTAGGACAATATGGAACTCGTGGGAGGTGGGTGGTGTGGAACGCGATCCCCACACTGTGCCAATGTGTTTAAGTATACTTCCCACTGTCTCTTCTATGATGTTCAGTATGATTGGCTTTACGTTGAGGTCTTTGATCCATCTGGACTTGAGTTTTGTACATGGTGATAGATATGGCTCTATTTTCATTCTTCTAAATGTTGATATCTAATTATGTCAGCACCATTTGTTAAATATGCTTTCTTTTTTCCATCATATTGAGTGAGGTAACCCAGACCAAGAAAGACAAATATTATATGTACTCACTCCCATAAGTGACTTTTAGACATAAAGCAAAGAAAACCATCCAACAATTCACAATCCCACAGAACCTAGACAACAATGAGGACCCTAAGAGAGACATACATGGATCTAATCTACATGGAAAGTAGAAAAAGACAAGATCTCCTGAGTAAATTGGGAGCATGGGGGCCATGGGAGAGGGTTGAAGGGGAAGGGAGAGGAAGGAAGAGGAGCAAAGAAAAATGAAGAGCTCAATTAAATCAATAAAAAAGGAAACCTGCCTAAATGTCCTTCAATTGACATGGATAATGAAACTGTGGTACATACATATTGTGGAATAATGTCAACTATGAAGAAAAATGAAATCATGAACTTTCCACATAAATGTTTGAGATATACCAGGGGGACTTTGATGAGGGAGGAGGAAAAGAGGTAAATACAGGAAAAGGGGGAAGGAGTTGACATAAGGAATCATTCTATTGACTACCTAAATAAACTTGTAATACATGTAGGTTTGTATATGCATAAACATATGCAGTTGAAATGAAATTTTCCCATCCAGACTGGCAATGTTTCCCTTAAGAGTCTTAGACCATCTAACAAAATCCTCAACACCTGGCATAAGAAGCCTCTTTTGAATTGTTGATCAGGGTTGTCCATAAGACTCCCAAACATTATAGGTGATTGCTATTGCCTTTAGTTGCCCCTTAGAGCTGGAAGTTAATCCATATAGCTGAAGACACAATGACTTTGAATAAAGGGCCCAGAGGACCCAAGCTAGATCTTACCTGAAAACTTCCTCCTAAGGATTAGAATTCATGGTACCTGGATTGCTTACAAATATGGAAGCAACCAATAGTACTACCTTACTATGAAGTCTGTAAACCCCAAGAATGATCAACACAACACAGGAACTATAAAGTTATGATATTTATACACATACCTTGACATTTTTCAAGAGCTCTCTAGTTGGGTTTAAGGTCTACTCAACAAGAGACATGTTGTGCTTATTACCAGAGACCTTCCCAAACACCCAGGGCTAGTGAAGTCATGAATCTTGGAAGAGAGTCCTCAAGTGCCACTTGACTAAATCTGCATAATCCATAACTACATTCTATGTTCATCCTTATATCTACAGATACATGTGTTCTCAGCCCTCATAAAGGAAATTCTCTTTGCAACAGATAGAAGCCATTATAGAAAGCCATAACCAACCAAAGCACAGTGTTGCAGATCTCAGTCCGAACTGATAGATATATGCCCCAATTTATCCATCTAAGACTGGAGGATCATTGTGCAGGAGAGGGCAGAAATGGTTTAAGAGTTAGAGAAACAGAAAATTTGCTGTGAGACTGTGTCTTATAGAAATGTAACAAATGAAGCTTCACCAGCATGACTGCCTAAGCACTGTCTGGACAAGAAGGACACTAATAGACATACAAACATGGAAGGGGACAAATTAAGGTGATTTCAACCCAAGACAAAGAACTATAAAGAAATGCTGAGTTGTAGAAATAGTCTCCCTTGGGGAAAAACACACCAGTTAATCTGCCAAGTGGCAAGCCCTGAAAACATATATACTATATGTATGTATGTATGTATGTATGTATGTATGTATGTATGTATATATACACATACATATAGGCAATTCAGGTTGTATTATTTATGTATTTAGGAACACAACCTGAATTGTCTGTATGTTACTTGGAAGTTTGGAGGGAGGAAAGAAACAGTGGAAAAACTGCCATTGTAATCTCAAAAAATAAGTAACATTTAATAAATAAATCTATAAATAAAATGGAAATGCTGAAAAAAATTGCAAGAGGCTAAAATGGCTACTTCTAAACTTTAGAAAATTGGATTTACTTTTTAATTTATTAATAGATGAGTTACTTAATATAATGTTTTAACTTAATATAATGTTTTAAATTTCTTATCATAAACATGTACAAAGAAATATTCTTTTCAGTTCATACAAAGTTTTATATTAGCCTACTAAGAGCCCTAAATAGTTCTGAGTCCTTTTTTCCAGAACAAGGAAATGTTTTCCTTCTATTATTTTCTTTTTTCTTTTTTCAAACTAAATTTTTTTGTTCCATTGTTTCTTTTGTTAGGTTGCAGGATGGATCCTAAGTTTTCAAGTACATGTTAATGAGAGCTCTATCCCTGAGCTATCTCCAAGCCTAGTTTACTTTGCATTTTGAAACAGACTCTCACTAATTGAGCAGGTCACCTTTAAACTTGGAATTCTCCCACTATAGCCTCCAAAGTAGCTAGGATTGAAGGCCTACAAAACCTGGCTCAACCACAGTGGGATACTTTATAGCATATATCTAAAAATAAAACTCAAAATAAAAATAAAAATCCACAAACAATGAAGATCATTTCACTCCTAACTTCCATCCTCATGGAAAAAGTACAAAATTAACCGTGGATTGATGAATGTTTGAAAAAAAAAAAACGAACACATTCATTATTTCCATAGCTGGATAAATTTGGTCATCCACTCTAGATAATATTTGGATATTATGAAAGCTTTAATTTATATAAATTACTTGATGTAGCAATTAAAATGCTTTTGAATTCATCTATCCTAATGAAATAATTTAAAAAGCAATCAATGATTTAGACAGAAGGATATTTGTTACAGTTATTTAGAGTAGAGGATAAACAGAAAAATAAGCATAACTATAGTTGATGAATGAATTTTGGCATTTTGACTTTAAAAATTTAGTCAATGAAAATTATTAGTTTGATACACATTTCCTGATGAGGCAAAGCCAGCAATGTCAATCAA